TAGTCTATAGTCTAGTCTATAGTCTAGTCTATAGTCTAGTCTATAGTCTAGTCTATAGTCTAGTCTATAGTCTAGTCTATAGTCTAGTCTATAGTCTAGTCTATAGTCTAGTCTATAGTCTAGTCTATAGTCTAGTCTATAGTCTAGTCTATAGTCTAGTCTATAGTCTAGTCTATAGTCTAGTCTATAGTCTAGTCTATAGTCTAGTCTATAGTCTAGTCTATAGTCTAGTCTATAGTCTAGTCTATAGTCTAGTCTATAGTCTAGTCTATAGTCTAATCTATAGACTGTCCTATGGTCAGCTAATGGTCTATAGGAAAATTAGTTTAGTACTTTAATGCTATTTTAAAATTTAAATTTTCCATGTCTGGTTTGTAATTTCTATTCAAAGAATTTGTTTTCTACTATACAGGAGAAAAAGAGAGAATAAAAGAAATTATGTTAACGAAAATTAGAAGAAAATGCAAAGAGATCTAGGGAGTTGAAGTGGAATTAATGAATACCACAACAATAATAACAAATTTATGAGCCATTAAATTATAAATATACAATTTTGTTTTCTTGTCTTTTTTATATAGTATGCCGTCAAAAAAAAAGAAATAAAATATGTAAAATAGTTTAAACTCTATTTAGCGTTTTGAATACAGGAAATAATGAACAAAATGTTATTTAATTAAAAATAAAAAGAGAATTTATTTAAAAAGAACTAACGGGGCTTTTGTTTAAGAAATTTTATTGGTTCTGTGAATCTCAAATTAATGTAAGTATAATAGACAAATTTAAACTTTTATTTTACAAAATTGTTTTAAATATAAACCATTAACCCTTTTAAATGTTTTTGTATTAATGAAAACTTTACCCTTAATTTAAGTAAATTTCCAAATAATTTCATTCACTTGGCCTTTGGCAATTTCTGAGTTTTTTTTTTTCAATTACATTTTCACCATATCACACCCCTTGTAGGTATAGAATTTCACCACTCGTTGTTGTTATTTGAGTTGTCAGTTCAACTGTAGTTTTATGTGCAAAATAATACAAACTAAAAACTATACCTGCTGCCTATCTGTTCGTCTGTCTGACAGCCTACTCGTGTCATTCTTTTATCCTTTAAACCAACCACCCCTTTTTTCTATTTGTGCTCTCTGAAAAATCTGCTTTCTATACCAACAAAAACGTGCAATTTTTCCAATTGGATCTCGACAACTTGCCGGCATATAATTTTGTATAAACAAAAATACAAAGAGCAACAACAACAACAATATACATACAAACAAAACTACAAAAATAAACTGTGAATTAAAAAAAAATATACACCAAACAACATAAATAAATTGATGATATACACTCAAAAATTAAATTGCATTTTTGATTAATGCCGGCAGAAAATTTTTAAATTTGGGATCGAAGCACCTAGGTGAAGCCTCTCCTCTTCATATGAATATGTAGCATTTGGAAAGGAGCGCTAAACTCTGGAACACTTTCTTTGTAATTGTCAGGCTTGGGAGTGATTTTATTCTGGATTCTTAGTAATGATGTGCAAGAAACTGAGTTTCTGAAATCAGTCCATAATACCTTCACAGATCACGAAGTGATTTACTTGAACACCTGCCGTGTTCGTCTTTTAAAACCTTGGGGTGAGCTTGTTTGAAGACTCGCCACCGACCTTTGCGTTTCTGACACGCCGGTAGCAGTTTTGCACATGCATCTGCCGGTCCATATACAAGCGCACGGCTTAATCAATCGAATTATCTAATCTCTGGCCATTGTTTTCATAAGTTCTGGGATACAAAAAGATGAGATTCGACAACAGCACCAGACGTAATCGGTAGGTCCATCCATCCATCTTACACACAGAGTTCTGGTATAGAGTAAATCTTGAATATACCCTGACAATTGAAGCTAAATTCAATGGCATCACTTGTATAAGATCCCTTTCATGCATCGTCATTCAATCCAACACACTTCTCATTTAACCGAAAAATTTGGTTTTAAACCACAGCTATTACTTGCATCCCAAAGGAACCTCTCCCATAACCGGTACAAGACCGAAACTCTCTGGTTCAACCCCATGTCGAATCATTTCAAGGAAATACCGAGGATACTTTTGATACCATCAGTTTATAGTCTAGAGGTATTGATAGGACATATTACCCCCGGATTGTAATAACTCCGAGATAGGGAATATCATCAAGGTAACATGACCCTAAATGTTCGTTAAAGGTGTAAAGAATAATTATATTTCTTCAATTCGGATAATTTTCTGAATGTGGCCTTAAAATCTGAGGATACTTTTTGATACCAATGGTTCATAGTCCCAGCATTCTAGAAGTGTTAATAGCATATATTTACCACGAATTGTAATAACACCGAGATGGGAAAGATCATCAAGGTAACATGCCATCGTTTAAGATGTAAAGAATAATTCTAGTTCTTCCTTTCGAAAGTAATTTTCTACTCTTTCACCGATGACAATAACATCAAGAGTCCAAGACCTTTAGAGATTAAGGCAAAGTGTCAAAACATGAATGAATCACTTAACTGTGTTTAGGTAATAATCTCTGATTATTTCATATTAACCCACCTGATTTTCTGTTCCGTATATTGGGGTCTTTAATTCATCACATTAAATTTTGAGTTGAGTTGAGTTAGATCGAAGTTTAAAAACTTTTTCAGTGTCGCATTTTTATCATAAATATCATAACTTGTCATTCCTTTGTAGTTAGAATAACAATATCGATCGTAAAAAAGAATATGCCTTAAAAATAATAACATTTCTAAATGGATAATACTTTCCAATTGGATTTTAATTATTCCTTTTTATGCAACAGCAACAAATACATATGACCAATGTATGTACACCTATACCAACAATCAAACACATACAATTATACATAGAAGAAACATGCATACGAATACAATAATCATCAGTATAGAAGGACCTCAGACCCTTTTTAAAACTCATACTAAAAACCATCCAGGAAAAATTAAAACAAAATAAAACGAAAACGATGCTTTACAAAAATCCACTCGGCAACAACAAACAATTTTACAACAAAGGAAAACAATGTTTTTTTTTTTTTGTTAAATCAACTTTTCACACAGAGTACCACAACATACCAATGAAGATGATGTTTGATGATGGGCACTATTGGTAAAAGGATGATGAGAAAGTTAAGGAGGAGTATGATGATGTTGTTGTTGATACTAATGCTATGAAAAAGGATATTGCATATGTATTTGTTTTGGTTTATGTATGTTTGTTTAAATGTTGTTGAAGTTTTAGCATATGTTTGGTCAAATTGTAAGTTTATTTAGTCTATTGTTACTCAGGTTGTGCTTTTGTTTATATATCAAGTTATCTAACCAACCGGTTAGTCTTTATACAAAAACCGAATGAATTTGATTTTTCTAAATTGATTTTTAGTTCAAAGTATGTAGTGGAAATTTAACAAAATATGGGTGGACTTTTTAAATATGTTTTTAAAAAGGACCTCAACCCAGCCCTATTCAATAACTAGGTTCAGTTACATGCAAAGATCGCTTTATATCGGTTAAAATGAGAATTTTTATTGACAAGGAAGTTTCGAAAGACTTTATTCTCTAATTCTTTTCAAGTTGATTTTGGTATTTTCAAAAAACTCAATTTTTAAGAAAAAAAGACATTTATTTCCACAAAATGTAAAATTTTAGATAAATTCGAATTGGAATTTTTTTAAAAATCAAAATTTTTAAAGATAGGTACAAGGTAAAGGAAACTTTTGGAGAAACTTTTGATGCAAATTTTTCTGAAACACAATTTTTTTTTAAACGGAATTGAAACTTTTTTAGAAAAACTTACTTAATTTCAAGTTAAAACAGTTTGTTAATTCAAAGTAATTAAAGTATTTGAATTATTTTCAAAATTAAATTTATAAACATTAAACTTTAACTAAATAGTTAAACAAATAAACAAACTATGTAATATTTTCTAATCATCACCTATTGCTTGACGATTTCTTTAGATTTTCTTCGTCCATTAACAAACAAAAAGTGTTTACAATAACAAACAACAACGATAATGCAAAAATACAAAAATTAGAAATATACAAAAAATGGATAAGAGCGAAACGCAAATCAAAACAACAACAACAGCAGCAGCAACATAAAATAATAACAAAAAAAAAACATAACAACAACAAACAGCACAGTACAAAAAAAGGTGGTTGAAAAGAAAATTCAAGAATGGGGTGTTAACAAAAAGAGGTCGGTTGGTCTTTCGGTTGTTTGCTAGTGGGGGGGGGGGGGGTTAAAGAGAGAGAAAATTTTTGTAAAAGCGGATACTAATAAGATAAAAACGGTGTAACGGTAAAGTGAAATAATATGCCGGTTTCCTTATAGATACTATTTAACAAAAACAAAAAAGAGATTTTAATAGAGAGTAAAATTATCATCAACAACAACAACACAAATAGTAGCCAAATATGAACAACAATAATAAGTGGTTGACATATGGAAATGAAAGGTGATTTCCATAATGAAGAGGTGAATATGAAAAATAGAAATACAGGATATTTGCAAAAAAAAAGGTGAATTTGCTGTTTTTGTAAATGTTGTTGGGACGACAACATGCTTGTTGTACAAATCATTTTGGGGTGGTGTTTTTAACGAGTTTGTTGCTGCTGCTGCTCATGTTATTGTTGTTGTTTTTTACAATATACAGAAGAGTAAAATGCAAAAATAAAAACAACAAACATATTTTCCTTTTTTTTAACCAAGTTACAGGGAGCAGAGCATTAAAAATTTCACAAAAAGAGTACACGACCAGAGGAAAAAAAACAGGAGCACAAGGAATTTTACGACGAACGAGCAAATGAACGAACGAACGAATTTTGTTAATATATTGTGAGCGAACTCTATGAGAAATTTTGAAAATGTGAATATATATATGCAAGATACAATAAATATGGGGATAAAAAAAATGACTGGATATATGTGGTCGGATATTTTGTGTGTGTACCTACCGGAGACAAAACTACGATGAAAATGCGTTTTTTTTTCTTCGTCGTTGTCGTTGTTGGAAAAAAGCAGCCCCAGCCCCTTTAATGCATTATGAACAAAAAAGGCTTTCAACTGATTTTTTCTAAAATTTTCTTCTTTTTTTTTGGTTTTTTAAACAAATGTTTGCAATATTCTTTTTATTTTGGCAAATTATCCAGAAAATTCACTATTGTTTAAGTTTTTTTTTATTATTATTATTGATTTCACAGTCTCTACAGTGGGTTTAAAAAATTCTTAAAATGATGACGCCAATACTTCTGAAAAATGCATTAGAAAAAAACTTTTAAATCTCACTTTTTTAAACAAATTCTTTCAAAGAAATTTTCATTTTTTAACACTTAAACACTAGATATTTTTGTTATTTGTTTAATAAAGCATTTTATTTAACATTAGCTTTAATTTATTTCTTTTTTTTTCTTAAGAAAATTTCACTTGCAAAACTTTTCCTCCTTCTTTGACTCACTTTTTTTCCTAGAGACAGACTATTTTTTCCAATTGCACAATAAAATAGTTCTTCTTAAGTTAAATTATATTCACTTTCTTTTTATTATAAACAAATAAAATTTGGCTTTAGTGCTATAGTTTTATCTATATTTTTACACTTTTTTAATATTTTATAAATTTTCTGAAGTTTTTCCAATACGCGAATCACTCAGACACCTTCATTCGTTCAATTTCTTTTGCATCTGTCTTTCTCTTTTTGTCGTTTTCTATGTCTTTTTAGTGTAGCAGAGTTCTTCGCCGACAAATATTAACGGCGTCTAATATTAAAAATGTCGGCGGCGGCTTAAAATCGACTATAAGCCGGCTAAGTTATTAAATTTTTAACGATTTCAAATAAAGACGGAATCCGACAGTTTAAAAAATGGGATTTTGGAAGCAAATATTTTAAAAATAGAAATTGTCTACCAGAGTAGTAAATTTATGTATTCCCGAATATTATTTTATTTATTTCTTTCGTTATACAACTCATTTTTACGAGTTTTGTGATTATTTCAACTGTTCATTTTTACCTTCGTGAAAAAGGTATATATTTACATATAAGTTTGTCATTACCTTTGTAATTTCTATATAATTTTCATATATATAATAAAATAAACTAGCATTTGAAAAATCTATTTTGAAAAAATTAAATTATTGGAAGTCGCTGTGAGAGCAAAATAGGAATTAGCAACTACCAAAATTACGAACGTGTGACAAAAACAAAAAAATATCATATTATGATCCCTGCTGTTTTGCAACTTTGCCCACAAGCTCGTAATGCATGACTGGTATCCCTTCCTCAAAAGTCACTGTCTAAAAAAGCTCTAAAAGTGAACATTTAAAAGGAATAAAAAAGAATTAAGTGTTGTTAATATTTAGAATAAAAATATTTATGTTGTTAATATTTAGAAGAAAAATTTTAGTTATTTTAAATATATTCTATAATGAGTTAATGATAAAAGTTTTTAAATGAAAAGAAATGTTTTTTATAGATATTTGTAGACGGAAAGTAAAATTTTCGATAAAAAGTCAAATTTTTAATAATATTTTGAAATTTTGTGAAAAGTAATGTAAACTAGAATTGTCAAAATCGAGTATAGAATTGTCAAATCAAGTATTGAATTTGAAATGTTAAATTTTCTAAAAAAGTGAAATCTTTGATGAAATGTGTTATCTGTGTGAAATGTCTAGCTTTCGGCACAAAGTATACTTTGTCGATGAATTGTCGAATTTTTTATGAAAAGTTTAATTTTTAAAAAAGGTAATTTTAAAGGATAAGTTGAATTTTTGATGACAAAAAATAAAGGGTTATTTTTATTTAAATGTTAATTTTCTATGAAATTGAAAATTTCGTTGAAAAGTAAAATTTTTCATTAAATATTGAACTTTCATGGGAAATTTGAGTTTTTTTAAATAGAAAATGAAATGAAATTTTTGATGAAAGGTCGAATTTTCAGTGAAAAGTCAAATTTTAATGAAATATCGAAATTTCGACGAAGATTAAAATAAATTTACGTAATTTTGATAAAAATTGAGTTTTCAATAAAAACTCGAATTTTCATGAAAAGTAAAATTTTTGACAAAAAATTTAATATTTTGAAAGAAAAGGAGAACTTTTTGTGAAATTTTCGAGAAAAATTTAAAAGTTTCCTAGAAAAGCCGTTAGTCCCCACTGTGCGATGTATATTTCCCATTTACACCAAGTCTTCTTCATTGTAAACCCCAGTTAATAAAAATGAATTACCACATTTTACTTTCTGATAAGAAGAAGCAACTTCGTTTCCTCCGGATTCACACCCAATTTAATTTGTTTTCATTAGTTTTACAGAAATTTATATATTTATGCACTAAATACATTTTATCTCTTAATCTACAACAAATACATAAACTAAACATTTAAGTTTTCTACATAAACGGCTTGCACATGGCCAATGTATGATCAACACCAAACGCCACTTTCGTCACCTTTCCATTAACAGCAGTCTTCAGGGGGAAAAATTGATCTTGTTTATGACCCAAGCCCAAATGGCCAAAACGATTTTTACCCCACATAAATAGATCACCATCAGAATTGATAGCACCCATATGGAAAACACCACAACCTATTGAGGTCACATAGGTCTTGTCGCTGAAATCATTGCGGCCAAAGAGCGGTGGTAGCAAATGTTGTGGCTTAGATGTTTGCTCTACGTACGGACCAAAGCCTAAAATACCAAATCCCCAAGTATATACCAGACCTTCTTCGTTGAGGACCATGCAAAAGGAGCCACCGGCAGCTATGTCTTTTAGTTTACCTATACCTTGAGTTAGTTTCAGATACTGTGGGGTATTTATTTGGGTGACGGCATTTTCAGAGTCATCCAATTGGCCATACTCAGAATTGCCCCAACCAAACACTTCGCCTTTGTCATTAAGCGCTAGAACACAATCCGAAGAACAGGCCAATTTAACTATATGTTCTTTTGAAATATCGCCCAAAGCCTGTGAAACTCTGCCCGAAGTCTCATAATGACCTTGACCCGTTTGACCATCTGCTCCCCAGCCACAGGTATAAACACGCCCTTTTTGTGTTAAAAACATGGTGTGGTCCTGTCCACATACTACATCTATAATTTCATCTTCCTCGCCACAAATATCCTTTTGTGATAGACGATATATTAAGGAGCTTCCCTTATAGGCCTCATCTTCTATTATCTCACGACAACACTGTCCATAGGCATTATTGCCCATGGTAAAAATAGTGCCATTTTTGGTAACCACCACTAGATGAGCTCTTCCGGCTGACATGCATTTTATTAACATATCCTCATCTGTCTCCCCCTCTATGCGGGGCAGTTTTATGGCCGTGGGATATATGATAACATCTAAATTTCTGGGATCATTGCGGGTGCCTTTCACTTGTAAGCCCAACTGTGAATCGGTATTTAAACCAGCACCAAATAATGTCTCACCATCGGAACGCTTGACCGCAAAGGCAGAAAAGCCATAGCCAGCAGTTACATCAATAACTTCATTATTTACCGAGAACTGCATACGGGTGGGATGATGCACCATGTCAGTGTAGCGTTCTTGGGCCTTTTTAACATTAGTTTGTAATCCTAAGGCCCCAGTCTCCTGGTAGCCCCATGCGTATACTCGTTCCTTATGAGGATTCGAAGGTTTTGTTTCAATAACTGTTAAAATTGCAGAATTTAGTAATCCTGTTAGCTTTTCAAGCAATTTAAATGTTACCTTTAATTTTTGTTTGATCCTGTTTCAGTAAACTCCTTTTCGCTTTTGTTGTATAGGTGCGATAAAGCAAATTTTTAGTTTTATTTAAATTTGCCAGCATTTTTTTTATATTTTGATTTGATTATATTTTATTTTGTTTTTACTTTATAACTAAACTAATTAAATTAAAACTAATGTTTGGTAACAGCGAAACATGTTTCGTTTGTTTTGTTGTTGTTGTTCAGCGTATTGTAAACACAGCTGTTTATATTAGAGATGACAGTTTGTTCAAGTTATCGTTTGACAGTAGTGTTATCGTTAGTTAGTGGTGGTATAGAAATTTAACTAGAAAAGGCAGTGGAACACAAATTTAAAATAAAATAATTTTAAATTTCGATTACTGTACCAAAAAATACACTGGCTGACAATATTTCTATATTTATAGAATTTGTTATTTGCTAACAGTTGGCTTTAAAATGGTTTAATCTTTCCTATAGTTTATCATACAGCGAATTATTAAAATAACGTTTCTAAACAACAACTGTTCCAAGGTCATTTATTTTACAGGCCTGTTAACTGACCCTCATTGTGGCTACCAATCAAATATGTATCAACTCTGAAATACCTCAGCTTCGACTGTTTGCGATTTCTTTACGGTGTTTTAAAACTATTGTATATCATATGACAGCTATTAAATAGCATTTTCTCATCCATTCCCATTCAAAAATAAATAAATTAAAAAAAAATTCATTTACATTTTAATAGATTTATCTTTTTATTTATATTCTTAGGTCTATGGTTTTTTATTTATTTTTCAGTTAAACATTATACACATTAGATAAATTATTCTTTGAGATATAACACTTAATAAAATTCTGATTTTGTTTTATATTTATGTATAATTTGTTTTAAATTGATGTGAGTAAACGACACATGATGTCTGAATCTTTACAAAAGTGTACTTTGTATGTTTTTGTTATATTTTTAAAAATTATTTAAATATTTTGAAAGAAAATTTAAATTATAATGTTATTACAACAATTGTAAGAAATATAAAATAATTTTGAAAATTATATAAGAAAATTTTTATTTATTATTTAACATGATTTTTTTTTTTAAATTTACTTTAATAAAGGTACCTGTAGGTATAATTTCATTGCTTTAAAAATATGGGGAAATTATGTTGTTTAAGCTTAGAGAAAAGGGAATGTGTGTTTAAATTATGAAAATATTGCTTGGTAAATAGCCATGTTTAAAATTTTGAATTTTA